CTCAGACTGAAGAAGTCTCTTGGAGGAGAGACGAAACGTTTCATTAGAGAAGAACCCGTCCAGAAGACCTATACAATTTTTTTCTTTTTGATTACATAATAATATATATTCCTGAAATGTTATCACTAATTTTACTACTAATAGGCAAAAATTAGCACTTGCTCAATGATTATAAAAAAGTGTTTACCTTCCACATTTTCTGAGTTGATCTCCAGTTTTCCTTGCGTTACCATCTCCACTGTGCTCGAGGTTTTAGAGATCATAAGTGAACAGTTTGGAAGTTGGAGCTGCTCTGCACTAGTTTACCTGTCTCCTCGCTCAGCGGGGTGTGGCCTTCACACACCTTTCAGAGTGCTTTCCATGAACCCGACACAGAGACGCACACAGATGCACTCCTGTTTCTCTGGGACTCACCCGCTGGCTGCCAACAGGTAACATGAAGCTTCTATGTGGCTCTTGTAGTGGAGGCTTAAAGGAGTTCAGCCCTCCTGGTTTCTCCATTTTCATCTTGGTCCAGGAGGAGTCGGTCCCCCGCTGACTGCAGGTAATGAATAAATAATGAAGTCCTGAAACATGAGAGATGGTGTGTGGAGGTGTGACCGTCCTCCTGTCTCTCCTTTAACTTAACCAGTACTGCACTTTTATTATTTTACAAGTGATTTCATATTTTTAACCGCATTATAGAACGATAAACATCGCACAGCATTATGAAGACCAAAGAACACACCACTCAGGTCAAGGATCAAGTTTAAATCAGGGTTATGTCACGGAGCTCTGACCGGTCCAGTATCCAAACATGAAACTAGTGTGGCCCAACTGCAAACTCACCAAGACATCCACCTAAGCTGCCACAGAGCAGTGATCCAAGGAGCAACCAAAGTCCACAGAAACTGGAGAAGCTGCAGAGATCAACAGCTCAGGGATAGGTGTACACTCATCTGCTCAAATCAGACTTAAATCCAATCTGTGGCAGGATTTAGTAAAGAAAAATGGGGAATTTTTTTCATCTAGACGTGCAATATTGGTAGAGAACGCACCACCAACACACACACACATCTGTGCACTAGCATTAAATTGAGGTCTTTGTATTGACTTCCATTCATTTTTGTAACTGTATTTATGCCTAACCCAAACGTTTTCCTTAAAACTAACCAGTTTATTCCTACCCCTAACCTGAACTAAAACTTAATTCATTCAGACATGGCTTTGGTAGCCCACTTAACTGACACATCAGATACGAACAGGTTGTAAATAACCTGGTCCAGACCTTTGCAGAGGACTCCTTAGCCCTAAATGTCACCAAAACTATGGAGCTTTGCTGTCCAGGCAGGGCTAAAATATGTAACAGTTTCCTTAAACCCTTGATCATTCAAGACCAGCAGTGGAGCAGGTTGGGTGTTTTAAATATCTCAGTATAGAAATGGACAATAGCCTTTCCTTCTCTAAGCTTGTCGACAACATTTACAAAAAGTCTCACCAACGCCTCCACCTTCTGAGGAAACTAAAAGCATTCCACATCAGTAAAAAGGTTTTGGAACTGGTCTACATAACAGGTCATTGATCGAATCCATCCTCATTTTCAATATTTCAACGTTTCATTACAATGAAACAAAAAACAAAACTATCCCACATCGTTAACCAGGCTAGTAAGACCACTGGTTCAGTACAAAGCCCACTGTGTGAGCTGTACAAGGCCTCTGTGGTCAGGAAAGCCACTCAGATCACAGAGGACCAGTCACATTCTCTTCACCATCTTTTTCAGCTTCTCCCCTCTGGCAGGCGTTATAAAGTTCCCTTGGCCACAAAAAACATTTATTAAAAAATCATTAGTCCCTTCTGCAATTACTCAATTACTCTATTAAACAATTCACACCTTGGTCTTATACCTAACTCCTGACCCAGAAATGGTATTTCTGCCAATGGGGACCTGACTTTTGTCCCTATTAGGAACAGTGAGTCCTCACCAGGCTGTGTGTACTGGGAAAATAGCCAACAGTTGTTCCCACCAAGTAGCAAAAACATGTACACACACACACACAAACTTGCATCTGGAAGTGAAGAAAATGGTTCTCTTAATCCTAAAAATTTGCCCTTCAAGAGCTACTTTAAATTTAACAAGGACGAAACCAGGTATTTTATTTGTACTGTTGAGGAATTAGAAGAAAAGGCCAGTTTTATAAAACAAATCATCATTAATGACCTTGACCTTCGACCCTTTGATGCCCAAATCTAATCAGACTGAGTACTACCCTAATAGAGTATTTAGGCCTATTTATAAGTAAATATACACTCACCGGCCACTTTATTAGGTACACCTGTCCAACTGCTCGTTAACACTTAATTTCTAATCAGCCAATCACATGGTGGCAACTCAGTGCATTTAGGCATGTAGACATGGTCAAGACAATCTCCTGCAGTTCAAACCGAGCATCAGTATGGGGAAGAAAGGTGATTTGAGTGCCTTTGAACGTGGATCTACTGGGATTTTCACACACAACCATCTCTAGGGTTTACAGAGAATGGTCCGAAAAAGAAAAAACATCCAG